ACCCCATACTCCCGGAGAACCCCCCACAAGGCCCCCCTTGGGACACGGTCGAACGCCTTCTCCAAGTCCACAAAACACATGGAGACAGGTTGGGCGAACTCCCATGCACCCTCCAGGACCCTGCTGAGGGTGTAGACCTGGTCCAGTGTTCCACGACCAGGACAAGTTGACATGTATGTTGTTATTTATTTGCTTTCTGGGAAAGTCGCCTAGGGCACCAAAATGGCTAGAGCCAGCACTGCTGCACTGTCTTGAATGTTTTAGCTGTTTCCCTGCTTCGGCACACTTTATTCAAATGATTTAATTACTTGCTCAGAAGCCTGTCACTCGTTCATGTCAGCCAGGCGCGTTGAAGCAGAGAAATATCTAAAACCCACATGGAAGTGGGTCACGAGAAACAGAGTTGAAGACTTCTGGTCAAGACTTGGGACATGTAAAAAGCAACAGGCCAGTATGTGGATTGAACCCACAACCTTGGCGTTATTAGCACCACGCTCTGACCATCTGAGCTAACCGGTCACTGTTCTTTCCTCCCAGTCACGCCCTTCAAGGCTAYATAGTCCACAAATAGTTGGATCTTCAGTCTTTATCTTTGCCCAAGTCCTCCAATAACACTGGTTATAATGGTTAACCAATCTCAAGACGAAAATCACAGCTGGTAAGACCTTAATTAAGCTTCTATTAYTTTCTGTGTTGCTCCTCTAGTTTAACCGCTGCGTCACGTCTCAGATGATCAAATGGTTCAGCAACTTCAGGGAGTTCTTCTACATTCAGATGGAGCGCTTCGCACGTCAGGCCGTGCGCGACGCTCTCACCAGGTGGGTTTGACTGAGCGCCGAATCACTAAAATCTGTTTTGTCTTCGCAGAAGTCCGTCTCAGCTGTTTGTCTGTAAACGTTCGGAGGTTGTGAGTCATTTTGGAATAACCAGATTTGTGTTAAATGTCCCTTCAAACTGATTTTTAAAAATACAGCAGGGAAGGCACGCCTCGTCTGAGCAGAGAGAGTCAGCTGCGAGTGAGTCGTGACACGGAGCTTTACCGCATACTGAACATGCACTACAACAAGAGTAATGTTTACCAGGTGAGACGTGACAGAAAATGAAGCAATAAATCGTTCCTATTGCTTTTTTTTACATTTGTACTTGAAATTTAGAACACTATAAACAATGTTGAATTAGTTCTACAAAGTTATCAGTTTGGACAAGCTGCATAAAACCATGGAAATATGTGGAAACACGTCAGAAACACTTTTTCTTCTTTTATTACCAAAGAGAGCTCATCAAGCAAAAGCCATGGAAAATTTTGTCTGATTGCACAGAAGTAATGTGTTGCTTGTGAAGGCTACAAAACCATTCAGTGCCCAACCATTCTTTGTGAAAAATAAAGAGCAGAAAACCACAAAAAAAAAAAAAACTTTTAAATATGCAGCTAACTCTGTACCGCCCAAATACCACCAATAAAAGCAACGACCTCCAGGCTTTGATTGGTGTTATGATTCTCTCAGCTCACTGGATTTTTACGACTGCAGCTTTGAAATATTCTTCGCATCATAACGAGGCTGTCGTTAACTTTAAACCATGCTTCTCTTTTAAGTGATTTTTATTTCCCTTTTAAAAACRCGTATGTCAAATAAATTCCCTGATGTTCTCTGCAGGTTCCGGAGAGGTTTATCGAGGTGTCGGAGGTGGCTCTGAGGGAGTTCTATTCAGCCATTTGGACCGGGAGAGACAGCGACCCCTGCTGGAAGAAAGGCATCTATAAAATCATCTGTAAGCTCGACAGCCCTCTGCCCGACGCCTTCAGAATGCCCGGTTGTCCGGTGGGCTAAGGCCCGAACCGCTTCTTATCTTGTACATAAACTCTAATGCATGCTCAAAAAAAAACAAACATATTTATCAAAAGGTTTAAAAAAACTGTTGTTGGGATCTGAAATGGGAAAGCACACGAAGAATCAACACATTAGGCGTGCTGAAATGAGAGTCTTGTGACGGCGTTTACTGCGAACGTTTCACTGATTTAAAATGGACAAAAGAGGGAATTCCTTCTCCAAACATTCCTCAGCCGTCAGTTGACTCGTGAAATTTCTGTGTTTCTATGCAGGCCTGATAAAACTCTCCTGAAGAGACGAGTTACAGCAGCCGGAGAGCTGAAACTAACCGTTTCGTTGCTGAATTATGCAGAGAGCGTCGATTATTGGCTTAGTAAGAAAATACAAATACATATTACGTAAAATACTGTGCAAAAAACACTTGAGTCGTCCCTTTGTTTTTAGAATTCTATTCTTAAAGAGTTATATTCTCCAGATTGGATTTTTTTTTCCTGCATTTCTACTTCTATTCAGTCCAGCAGGCCCTGCTCAGTTTAGCAACAAAATGTTTGTTTGTTCACTCCTTTAAGGTGTGCTAACATTTCTTGGACTTGTGCCTGGTTAAATGAGAAAAAAAAACTGAAAGAAAAGCTTTCAAAATAAAAGCTGCATGGTTTCTAAGTAGAAGCCTTGTAATTTGAATTTACAACTTCTTTTTTTGTGTTTAAGCTTGCTGCTTTGTCACCAATTATTCTACTTCTAAGGTTTGAGAATGACCCCTCACAATATCATGAAGATAGTTTTTCTTATTTTCACGGAGTTGTCTTTTAGCGGTACTTGAGCCCCCCTAACGAGAGCCTAAAATGGCCATTGACTTAAATCCATGTGTGTGTTTTGTCAACATATAGCTGACAATAGAAAAGGGCAACAGTTTTTATAGATATTTAGCTTGTAACAAGCCAAAGTAATAGTACAAATAATCTTGTTAGTTAGCTTGCTAAAATACTTGCTAGATAAAGGGCTAGGAACTTACTAGTTAGCAAGCTAAAAACTAGCAAAATAACTATTTTGAACCTTGTAAGTTAGCTATATAAAATACTAGCTACTAACTAGCTAGTTTGCTAAGCTACTAGCTAATAATTTGCTGGGATCTTGCTGGTTAGCTAGCTAAAATAATAACTAGTTAATGAGCTAGGATCTTGCTAGTTAGATTGCTAAATTACTAGCTAGATAAAGAACTACAAGCTTACTATTTAGTAAGCTAAAAACTAGCAAAATAACTATCTTGAACCTTGTAAGTTAGCTATATAAAATACTATCTACTAACTAGCTAGTTTGCTAAGCTACTAGCTAATAATTTGCTGGGATCTTGCTAGTTAGATTGCTAAATTACTAGCTAGATAAAGAACTACAAGCTTACTATTTAGCAAGCTAAAAACTAGCAAAATAACTATCTTGAACCTTGCAACTTAACTCCTAGCTACTAACTAGCTAGTTTGCTAAAACACTAGCTACTAATTAGCTGGGACATTATTAGTTAGCTTGCTAAAATACTAGCTAGCTAAAGAGCAAGGGGCTTACTAAATAGCAAGCTAAAAAAGTAGTTGGGGAACTAGCTTGAATCTTGTTAATTATTTACCTAAATACTAGCTGCTAACTAGTATCCAGTCACAAAGTCATAGTTTGTTCCAGTTGCTTTATCTATAGAAAATACTGGAGGTGTAAAGTAACTAAGTACAAATACTTTGTTACTGAATTGAAGTAGAATTTTTGGGTATCTGTACTGTACTTGAGTAATTATTTTTCAGCCTACTTTTTACTTCTACTTCTTACATTTTCACACAATCATCTGTACTTTCTACTCCTTACATTAAAAAGGCAAGAAGTAGAAAGTCATTACATTACTTCATTTTTGCTTGTTTTCATTCCAGCTTGTTTTTGTAAAAAAAATAAAAACTATCCATATAAATTGTGCCTCCTAGATACAGTGAATTTAACTGTGGTTGAATGAGAAGTATAAATATATAAAATTCTGATACTGTATTATTAGTTTGTACACAAACAAATCATGTCACACTCCAGCAGGACATAATCATTAAAAGAAAAGGACTGTACTTAAGAAGTATTTGTATCTCATGAATTATATTATTGCATTTGGCCGCAGCCCTCAGATAGATTTTCATTTTGGGGAAAAGGTTTGGGTAGCTTTGATATAAACTGAAACAGCTGGACTAGTTCATTCTGAATTTAACATAAATTAATTATTTTAATACAATATAGTAA